CTATTATACTCCTGCAATAACAGCTTGTGAAATGTCTTGTGCTCTTCTTCAATTAGACCTGAAATGAACTGGGATATATTATACAGGAGACCCACAGCAGCTTGAGTTTGTGTAAGACTGATCCAGCAGGGATGATGGAAATTGGAATGAGGAGAAGGAAGAGCGGTTGCACTCTGGAGTAGCTGCTGGCCTTTGAACTAATGAATGATGGATGAATGGATATTTATTCTCTGACGCTTGAAGAAAGGTTTCATAGGCTAAGCTGAATGTTTTTCACTTAGTGATTATGAGTGAGTAATGTGAGTTATGAAATCAGTACAGGGGAAGGAACTCTGGATCATTTTAGGGTTTTGCACTCATGATGTATTTGGTAGTGCTGAACTTCTGTGGACTGCCAGTGTAGTCTGGTTTGCACAGCAATTTAAACATTTTTGAACCAGAGTTACTACTTCCATACGCAATTGCAAAGTAATTATTTTTAAGTACCTCAGAGAGCATTTAATTTTGGAAGTAGCCACAGTCAAGTTTTATTCCTGAATAAGTGCATTTGAACGAATCGGTTTAGTGGGTTACTCAATAAGTCTCACCTACTGAAATGTTGGTGTAACCTGCTGAAATATTTAGGACCGAAACAAATTTATTTATAATATGTGAAGTAATTTTACAAATTTAACACAAACAAATTTGAAATGCAAACATAACCTTGTTCCATACAGTTACATCTTCACATTTTTCAGACATGCTTTCTTGTTCTCCATCACAAGTAGCTAAAAGTGAACACATGATTGGTTCTTCATTTACATAATTGAATAATTCTGTTTAATTCAGCTTCATAATGTTGTCATGCAGAGCATTTCGTCCTGAATAAACTGTGGCCTGGTGGAGCATTAAAACGATTATTAATGCATGTTAGAAAGCCACAGAACATAATATCTGTGTTACTCAGGACAAATTTAGGTCCCTGTGCTTCCTCACATTAGGAAGTAACAGTGCCGTGTTTATGGCTTTTGGAGTTACGGACGGTCATGGAAAACCTTGGGGGGGACAAGGGTTAAATTAAGTCTCCTCTCCAGGAAGGCGGCCCTGAGCTGAGGATATGGGTGCCAGGGTGTACGGCTCTGGCCCTCAGGAGCTGTGTGATGCTGACTGGCAAAACAGCGGCAGAAACATTGCTCCGGTTTAGCCTCTTGACTGCCAGCCCTGGCTGGTGGTGAACTAACATACACTGACAGACATTCCACCCCCTCTGCCCACAGCATAGTAATGTCAAGAGACGAGAGAGAGAGAGAGATGGAGCTGTTTACAAACACACTCTAAAAGCAAATAACCACTATACTGCCGCAACGGATAGACACGCACAGGGGCAATGTGGGAGACTGTCCGGATGGATGTACCTTGACAACCTGGACGTCTCCCACTGGCTAAAGCCTGGGCTTCAGACATGCTAGAGCTAACCGGAACAGACAGCAGCTAATCTATTCCGCTCTCTCCTCTTTTATAAACCTACTCTATATGACTCATTCCATTTACGCTCTGTGATTACGTATGAGCATTATGGTTAGTTGTTAATCATGATTTGTTGCTGCTTCCATGTAGGAACAATCAAAACCAATTTATCTGGATGAGATGTGGGTATGAGTAACTTGTCGGAGACTTAAGGCAGTTTATAAGATTGGACCAATGAAGTTTCTGATTCTGTATGGGGATTATCTACAAATATGCATGTTTTTGTGAAACTGTGCTTGTGAATTTTCTTCCTGTACAGTGAAATGCTCTAGAGCAGGGATTCCCACACTCCAAACTGTTTCATGTTCAGTTTTTTTTCTGAAATTGGTTAGATTAAATTTAAAAAACGAAAATATATATATATTTAGTAATATTTAATCATTTTAATAATTGTGTTATTTAGATTTTTTATTTTAAAATTATTTATTTTAATTTGACATTTTTATTATTTCATTAAATATTAGCTTTTCATCTTTGCAACCCCCTGCAGTTCCCTCACAAACCCCCTGGGTTTTATGCATAATGAATTTATACATAAAGGGGAAAAAATATTAATGAAGAATTAAAAATGGATTCATGTTCATTTCTGATGGCTTGTAGCGTTCAGAAACTTTTTAGGAAAAAAGGGAATTATAATAGCATTAGAGTTTTAAATGAACATTTTAATTTACAGTGGACACAAGATTCAACAATTATTATTATTTATTTATATTTACCGCTAGCAATTGTTCCTCATTTTTACTTGCAGTATATCACAAATGAACAATCTTTTTATATTTGACAGAAATATTTCTATTTTTCAATAAATATTGTGTTCTGGAAAGTAGTAAAGTAAATAATAAAGTATAAATTCATAATCACAAGTGACTTTTCCATCAACTGGAATCTCAGGCCATTCTTATTGCTGTGCACCAGCAAGACACTTTGGGTCTTGTTTTCAAACTACATGCTCACATGCAGTTATTTGGTAGTGAAAAACCATGTTATGGTTTTGGAAGATTGTTTATATTATGCACATCTACACGGGCATTCTCTGTTGACTTGCTTTGACTTCCCGTTATTTGTAGCTCTACACAAAGTGGATATCCTTTGAAAATACATTTAATGTGGAAAAACAGATACCCCTGACTGTTACAGGCCTCCTATGGATCTGCTTTTCCAGCACAAGGGCACAGAACAGGGGCTTGGAGCAATGGATTATTTATGGCTTTGGTGAGATGCGGTCTATGGGGCCTAAAAGGCACTTACCTGTATACCAAAAATAACAATCAGGCAGACGTAGATAGCTCTGCACACCTGAGTGAGACTGAAAGCACATCAAAGCTTTCACATTGAACTTAGGGATGCGTTATATCTTTTTATTTATTTTTTTGTCAGGCTAGTCACCGGACTCTTTTGGGATGGACATGGCTGCTTTATTACACACTGTCAATTGCCTACTTTAACATCTTCACACAGTCAGCTCCCTTTTGGGAGAATTCCCCATTTACATTCCATTATTTAAATTTCCTCATGAGCAGAATTAATGACTCAGGCCTTCTGATGAGGTGCCGCCATTGCCGGCATCACTTAATTAGAATAATCTATCTCTACGGGTCAGGATGCATGAAAGGAGGGCACAGCATTAGAACGTTTCATTAGAAAAGTTCATTATCAAATAAATAGCTTTGACTCGCAGAGAGACTGAAGGTGGAGAGAGGTGCTTGGAATGAACATGGCTGAATATCTGAATATTGGCCCTTTGAGAGGAAAAGGAGGATAGAAAAGAGCAGCAGCTGATTGTTTTTTATTATCAAAGGTAAAGTATCGGAAGCATAGTGGGATTCTGGCAGGCAATTTCATGTCATGCTGCAGCATAATTAGTGTCGGAAATGGGACGTCTGAATGTTAATTACATTTGATGAAGGCTTGTGTTCGCTGCAGAGTGAATTATGAACCTGTGCCACTCCTTGCTGCTCAAATTGGGAAATAATGATGTCCCACCGAGAAATCACCCACTGAGCATATCTACTGTACATGTCTTAATGAAAGAGGGTAGAAATCAAAACAGTGTAACGGAAGTGATTTGAAGTGCCTTTTATTTTGTTTCAGACACAGTTACTCACATGACCCAGAGCACAAAGAGGGAGAGAACAGGAAGTTGCTCTCTTAAAGGGAACACACACTAGTTCCAATGAAACAATGAATAAATGGATACTTCCATCTTTGTGACGGAGCGGTGATTGTTTGTGCACTGAATTGCTCTTATATTAAAACCTTAATATACATTATGACCGATTAAGTCTGACCAAACTTGGCTAAATATGTCACGTTTTGATCTAAAGATCTGGCTTTGATAAAGAATGTTTCTTCACGTCATGTGTCATTTAAAGGGTTAGTTCACCCAAAAATGAAAATTCTGTCATTAATTACTCACCCTTGTATTGTTCGAAACCCGTTTGACCTTCGTTCATCTTCAGAACACAATTTAAGATATTTTTGATGAAATATGAGGGACCCTCCCATAGACAGCAAGGTTTTGTGGGCGCGCATTCAAGACAGTATGTCACACAGACTACTTTGTCGATCATCTTGGTACTTTTCTGGACCTTGAACGTGGTAGTTACCTTGCTGTCTATGGGAGGGTCAGAGAGCCCTCAGATTTCATCAAAAATATCTTAAATTGTGTTCCGAAGATGAACGAAGGTCTTACGGGTTTGGAACAACACGAGGGTGAGTAATTAATGACAGAATTTTCATTTTTGGGTGAACTAACCGTTTAAGAGATTTTGCTATTTCTTGATTGTAAGAAGGAATAAACATTGACATCTTTCTGTAATAAGGAAGGACCATTACCACGAAAATATTAACCCTGTCAGGTGTCTTTAATCACTTTAAAAGAGTTTGTTTTGAGATAATGACGATGTAACTGTACTTACATTAACACATATTTTTGAGTTGATCTGGGTTGAAATGGCTCTATATTTCTCACTTGTAGAGACAACAAAGAAACAGACTGAGCACAGAGCAAAGAATACCTGGATGAGTTGCCATAGAAATGGACAATATGCAGAAATATTTGACATTGGAATGCAAAAATGGACTAATCAGAATTAAGTATTTCAAAGAGCTGTGCAATAAAAAGTCATAAATTCATAAATTCAATTTTAAAGTAAACCTTCCAATTGTTACTTTTTTAACAAATAAAAGTAGAGGTAGTGCAAATGAATAATGACCTTTGAATAACTATATTATCTTTTAAAATACCTTTTTAAAGGAGTAGCTGCTTGATCTTTGATTTTCGATCGTCTTCTGAAGACTTTTATGACTTCATTCTGTTCAAAACGTCAAAAATGTATTAAAAACCAGACCAGGAATCTGAATAGGCTCACATTAGCTTACAAATATTCTCAAACGCCCATTCATCATACAGCTATCTACAGATCACACATACATACAACAAACACATTTAATAAATTTTGTTTCATTAGAACCCTTCCCCAAATGCCCATATTTATAGGCCAAAATCACATAGATATTTGTATAATGTGTATTGTTTGCACACAAACAACAAATAGTGCATTCAAAATGAGAGACATAAAAATAAATGTGGACAACGGTTTCTATAGAGTGCATTCTCTTTTTATGTTAAATATTGTTATGATTTTAAATATTAATTTGGCAGATTTTGGACAAATATTGCTAAGCTGAGAAAGTGACAACGAATACAGTATTCAGTCATGCACACAACAACTGACTGAGATTAGCTATATAAACTTCTGGCGCGAAAACAGAATAAGTACCAGATCACATCTCACAGAGTCACATCTCCTCCAGAGATTCAGAGTCTGATGTCTGTGTTTGAGTCATGAGGAGGAGAGCTGCTGTAGAGGAAGGGTTCATTATGACTAAAGGCTGACTTTAAGAGGATCTTCTTTTGCAGTCAAGTTGAGAGTAAGACAACAGAGTAAAAGAAGGAGAGAGAGAGAGAGAGAGAGAGAGAGAAAGGGAGGACAGAATAGAGGCAAAAAATCCTTGGCAAGCTGATCACAGCTTGTCTGACATCAATCCAATCATCTTGTTTTTCCTGTTGGTTCACTGGACACACAGCTGATTTTTTAGGCTGGAAAGAGAAAAAGAAAGTTCAGACGGTCAGATGATACAATAGGATATCATGGTCACTGCAGTTGAGAACCACTTTAATGTAGACATTTAAATGTTCACCTATCCAACCCTGTCATTTCATCCGAAAACCTTTCAGAGCTCAGCTTTAGGGGTTGAAGTGGTTGGTGTTTAATCCGGTGTCTCTATCTGATACACAGTCAAAACACAGTAAATGTACCCAACACTCCACAGAGAAGAACCCATCCATTTCCCCCTTTAATGACAGGGCTGTGAAAAATTTCACTGGAACAAAAGATGATAATGTGCTGTGTAGACACATGAGGGTGTTATGCCATTAAACATTACCATACCTCTGACTCTAATGCTCTACACCGATGCAGCCATAGAGAAAAAACAGGTTGAGATCTCACGGTAAAAGATGAAAGGGAAATTATGCTTGAGGCCTGTAATTTGCCAGCAGAATCATTTCTATATCCTGTAAACCATGTTAACATCTCATTAAATATTTACATTGAAATATTGATAAGTGACTTTCGGCCCTTGCAAAAGACAAATATTCACACAGTGGAAAATTGGTGTTATTTGTCTTGTGGTTGTCAGTAAATATTCTATGGCTTTGAACTGGTTTTGTACCCTTTTAAAAACCGAATAAGGTCAACAACTCACGGATGAAGCCATTAAATGTTGTCATCTAGTATATGTTGGAATTTGTGCATGTTTCTTGCAAGTTTTAGGTTTCTATAAAATATGACACTATATTTCCTTTGCTGGATGATTCAAGGGACACAAAAGACAAGGACACTCTGATGGCTCAAAGAACATTCCTTGAAGTTAGAGATTTGAGGGCACTGTTGATTTAACTATCAAGAACAAGAGGCTGTTATCTACAGTACCCAGATGTTGCTTACAACAGGTTGTCACTCTAAACTCTCCAAACAAACAAGATAAAGGCTTGGTCAGCAAGCCACAGCGAAGCCATAATGAGCTGTAAGAGCTATGGAGACTGAAGTGTGGAGGTGGTACAACAAAAAAAAGCTACTAACTAGAAACAACCATGTCAAAAGATGATTGTGACTGAGCTAAAATCAGAGGTATAAAACTATTATTAGATGATATCAAGAGCCTTTTTAACCTTAAATTCAGACTGCTTTTAATCAGCCTTGACATTGTGCATCTTTAACAGTATGGAGTAATGAATGGTTTTAGTTTACCATAAATTCAAGCTTTTATGACAATGACCCTAAATAGGCTACTAGGTCATATGAACACTTGATTCTGAGTGGCCACAGAACATGCTACAATAATCCGCTAAATGTTCTGACATCGATCCAACTGAAAATCTGTATTTTGTATCTGCAAAACTACTAATTTTTTCAGCTCTTTAAAATGAAAGCATCAAGGAGGTGAAATGAGAGACTTGCACTGTACATTATATATAATCATAAACCAAAACATGACAGGTAAATGCATTTGATGAAGACTTTTTAATGTTGCTCATTATGTTAAATTAAGCACACGGTTAGAGTAACACTGGAACTGATTGCATGGAGCAATAACAGCACCAGTGATAGCACTTCAGGCTTTAATTACAACCTTAATCTTTGATGCACCATTGTTGCAGCCAACGTAAGCCAAAGAACGGACACAAAACCCTGCGAAAACACCACTTCAAGTGACATTTCGAAGGACTCTGCTGAGGTTCAGGTCACTTGATACAGTGAGAGGGAAAGGACTGTTTATCTTTGCCATAATGAAATACCCCAGATGCCTCTTCAAAGGGCAATTTGCATTTCAGGCCTCAGCACTAAAACCATCCTTCATTTCCAAATGCCAGGCCTCAGAGGGTTATTCACATAAATTCTGCACTACAATCTATTTAAAACAGCCCCAGTAAAATCTAGAAAAGACCTACCCAACACCTACTTGTCTCCTGATACAGCATATATATATATAAATATATATATATATATTCATCAGCTCTTCTGCATGGATGAATCTGGTGGTTTGAGGTATACACATGGTTGCCTGTGATCACCATATCAGAGCAGATCTGTCATTTTACACCAAGACCCACTGACATTAAGAAGAAAGTCAGTCCTAAAAGACTTGCATGTGAAAAATGTTGCCCGAGCAAGTAACATAAGCTGCCAGTACTCACTCGATAATAAAATGTAGTATTTTCACCTCAAAAACGTATGTAGTGCGCATTTAATGCACAACAAAGCTAAACCTTGGATAGGCAATGGTCTCAATGGAATTATTCTACAAAATCAAAAAAAGCAAGATCAAACAGTTGTTGTATATTTATCCAGTTGCTGAGGCAATTCAGAGCCCATGAGTATTTCAATGTGGTTTTATTAGGTTTTATTGCAATTTGCTGTTTTATCAGCAGCCAAAAAAATCCAAGCAATCACATTTTGGCCACATCTGATTGTTTGCATTTTTTACAAAGTTGACAAAAGTAAGCTTTATTTTACTTTCAAGATGTTTCTGATTACTTAACAGGTCAAGCTCACACGCTGAAGTTTACTCTGCAGAAGACATACAGGCCTTCCTTCATCATGAGGTTTTCATACAGCATTTGAATTGTTGCCACTTCTCTTAAAATAGCAGTATTAAACATGCCGTCCGTTGTTAATAATTTACAGTGCTCACATCCCAAATTAAGCCAAACGAAGTAGCCTGGAGCAAAATTTTACATAATAATCGTCACAGCTTTAGATCCCACGTTCAAATGAAATTGCTGTTGCCAAACCAACGCTGACCTCCATCCACCTTCTCCCTCCCACCTTCCATTCATTCCTCCCTCTGGTGTTGTTTGCAAGTGCTGAACTTAAATATGATGGAACGGTCCGATTTTCGCCTGTGCGGTGTTTTGTGGTTTCACTTACAAAGCAATTGAAACAAATACATTTAACAATGTTCTTTTCAGTTTTGTGAGGAAAATAAAGTGTTAAATGACACAAACCTTTCATAAAATGTCACAGTGACATTGTACTTTTGATTCTGAGACCTTTCAGTTCCTACCAGAATGACCACTGGGTCATTCTTGTGCAATTTTAATTACCCAGACCTCTGTATGAGCAGGACTCAGGCAGCAGGACCCTGAAAGCGAGTGAGCTGCAGTAGTGGTGATTCATTCTTCTCCTAAGGCAATGCTCAAGCAGCTTCCCTATTATGCTTCTGAGTGGAGGGTGGGTGTCTCAGGATAGAGACATCAAAAAGTCATGGTCTGATCTTCTGCAATCGCAGCTGTGATGTAAAATGGAGGAAGCACTTGGGGCATACAATTTGCATTGAAGCTGTGGGATTGTGTATGTTAAATGCTGCTCTTCATGTGTAGGGTCCTCAGAATGGATCAGCCCACTATAGTGATACTGTAGCATTTTACAGTCATTTACTGTATATATTAAATAGTCAACACTGAAATTGTTTTTCAGAAATTAAAGAACTTGTTTTCATTGAGTCAAAATATAAGTATATAAGTATAATAATATATATCTTTATTTTTTTAAAAGTGAAGCTCATAGTGAACTGTAAAAACACTACCTGTAAATGAGAGGAGGTAGAAAATAATGTGTCAGAGCCATGTCTCTATAGGGTAGTGCACAGCTCTTGTCTACTTTTAGCTAATGTCAAAGCAAGTTCAAGTTCTTTTTCTCTTATCTTTACTTCCATTTGACTGTATTTTCCAAAATAAAGCAAAAAGCCCATAAAAAAGAAACCTAGGCATTCTGAGGTCAAGTTTTCATCTGACCTTCCTCAAGACAACCAATTGTGTATAAAAGGAAAGAAAATGCAAAGCAGAGAAGGAGAAAAAAAGAAGAACAAACCCACAGATCACTGACATGCTGATGGGAAACACTTTTACTCTTCAAAGAAATAATGAAATGGATGAATCAACTGTGTCTGTATAAAACAAACAAGTCTATACAAAGGGTGGCTTTTCAAGATGAAGTACAATGTTTAAGGAATGAGTCATCTGAAAATGCCACAGCAGGTTTTTCAATGTCACATTTAAAGCCATGTTTCTGTAGGTTAACTGGTGGATAATGGCACGATCAACACCAAGGTCAAAGATTTGAGGGGACACATAGGCCTACTGATAAAATATTTTTGAGTTGCTATGAATAAAAGTCCTGTCAAATCAATAAATGTTAAAGCGGAGTTGACGAAGCTCCAGCATCCCTGTGATCCTGTACAAAGGATAAGTGGTTTGGAGAATGGATGGGAGGAAAGAGTTCACTCAAAAAATAAATTTCTGTCATCATTTGCTCATGGTCATGTTGTTCTAACCTGTAAGTTATACTTTGTTTTGTGTAACAAAAAATAAGTAATTTTAGTTTTTTTTTGCTCTATACAGTGAACGTCAATGATGTCCAGTGAGGTTTTGGACCCCACCGACTTTCATTGTATAGACAAAAACAGTTTGTCTTGACAAAAGATGAAACTGAAAATATCTTCTTTTTATGTTACAAAGAAGAAAGTAAATCATACAGGCTTGGCATAACATGAGGGTGAGTAAATGCTATATTTTATCCTTTTAATTTACAGCTGAACCAGGAACTTTGAACACAGCCGCTATTTGACTTCTCCACATTGTAATTTGTCAAGACAATTAGCGTATCTTAGTTAAGTGGAGAAGATAATTTTTAAATGCATCAAATCAATCTCAATTTCTCAAAAGACAATAGTCATCCGACATGATATAAATCATGTCAATGCTACTGAGTTTTGTAAAAACTTTTGTAAATTTAAGAATTTACTGTGAGATAATATTGGGATTTAATGGGACTTAAACACAGTGTGACACTGAAATATTGTTCACCTCAAAAAAATAAAAAGCTCCATGCTCCACTTCTGTCTTTGTTTTTATCTTCTGTCACACAAAATAAGTCCTCCTCTTGTCTCATCACAATATGATGCCAAAAGCAAACAATTTTGTTTGAAGACTGTCTTAGGCTATTTGTTCAGACTGTAACAAAATCAATGCTTCATGTTTTATTGGCGCTTGGAGTGTAGACATGTTTATTTTACACCGAAAAATCAAGATTACCCTAGGGAGCTTACTTCTCGTGTGAGACAAACAAATCAGCCAAGATGGTGTTTGGAAAATGGGGCAAGCGAGATTGAAGGCAAATAGCTTGTTGCAGACAGGGTGAGACTGGAATCAAAGAGCTGTCAGGTGGCTGCACGGAGACATATCCTCCTGGCTGTAAGGTTGCTGAGCTGGAGAACTGTAGGGGGTATAAGGTGATGGACAGGAGAGGGACCAAGATGAAAGAATTTAATTAACCAGCAGGGTTAAAAGCAGCGGTTGGGGTAAAGGATGGCTGGGGGAGGGGGACAGTGATGAGAAGTTATAAGGCAGGCGTCTTACTGTGTACCGTTTAATGTAATGAAAAGCACCTGTAATAACTTCAGCTGAAAAACAGCGGGGAGACAGATGAGATCCCTGATGTGTTCTATGGGCACTTTCATAACCTTTAAGTTGTTGTTTGTGACGGCTAGTAAATTGAGATTTGTAGTCACCATGTGTGGGAGTCTTTTTATTTTACTCTGATTACCTGTTGAGGCAAACATTTACAAAACAACTTAATAATGACATGGTTTAAATAAAAAGGTGTTTGCGAGACAAATTAAGTCAAAAGTACCCACACTTTTGTACCAAATTAATACTGCAATATGAAAAATAGTCAAAGCTTATTGTCTTATCGTCTTTCTGCAGTTGATACCATGTGCTGAAAGACTGAAAGGCTTTCTGATAGTCAAAATAAATCTGTATTATTATCAAAAAAAATACTTGAAGGCTACATGGCTTTGTTTAAAAAAAATGTTCCCCCCTGTGGTTAAGAATCGTAAAATCATGAAATTTCAATGGTATTTGTACCAACTTCTGAGCTGGAAAAATACAACAAAAAAACACATTTTTTTTATTTATAATTTTTCTGAAATCTCATTTTTGTAAAAAAAAAAAAAAAAAATCATGAAAAATCATATCGTAAATCGTATCGCATTGTGAGTTGAGTGAATCTTTACATCCATAAGAATAACATAAATGTTCTCCATCAGAATGTCGTTAGCTCTAAACACACTTTATGAAACAACAGTTGCAGTTTTCAATCAGAAGGGCCGAACACTTTCTAAGAGAAAGAGTGTGTTTGTCGATTAGGGGATAGAGAAAGGCATGTTTCTGTATGTAGTAAGCATGCTGTTCCTGTGTTTGTAAGCTATTTGATGGATTGTGCGACAGGAGTGTAGTGATGCGATGGTAATGAGCCTGTCGGCCATGGCTTGACCTGTTGATACTGGAGGAGGAATGAGTCTTTTACCTCTTTCTTATTCTGCCCATACCCCATAGCCTCTGTTGTTGATTCATCATCTGTCCTCTCTGTGTTAATCAGGAAATCACATGTACACAAACCCTTGTGTCATGGGTTACTTGCTTATGTGTGTATAACCAGCGTTACAGAAACTTAAGAGTAAAGAGGAACACTGAATCAAGAAACCAAGGTAACACTTTATTTTAAGGACAAATTTCCACTACTAACTGCTTATTAGCATGCATATTAATAGCATATTGGCTGTTTATTAGTACTTATAAAGCACTATTTTACATCCTTAATTAACCCCATACCTAAACTTAACAACACAACTTAACAACTATATGCGTTCCCTATTCTAAAGTGTTATTACAAGCATACTCCAAACCTTCTGAACCTTCATCCAACAAAGGCTATGGAAAAGCCATTTTCCTTGGGATGCCTAAAGAATAAAGCAACATTAAACTAAATCATATTATGCATGCTTTATATTTGCTTTAATGATACTATAAAATGCTTCACGGTCATACTAATACATCTATTAATTTCTGGGTTCTCACACCTTATGTTTTTGAAAAGGAAATAGCCTACTTTTATTCAGCAAGGATGCATTACATTGATCAAAAGTGACAGAATCTTTCATAACAATATAATTTTTTACTAATTCTAAATTAATGCTATTCTTTTGAACTTTATATCTATCAAACAATCCTTTTTTTAAATAATAACAAAATTAAAGCACTAAATCAGCATATACGAATGATTTCTGAAGAATCATGTGACACTGAAGACAGGAGTAATGGCTGCTAAAAATTCAGCTTTCACATCACAGGAATAAATTATATTTTAAAATATATTCAAATCAGTTTAAATTGTAATATGTCACAATATTATTGCTTTTATTTTATTTTTGATCAAATACAGTAAATGTAGCATAAGATTTTTTTTTTATCTTGATACTTTAACTTTACTATAAATATATATGTATATATATATATATATATATAAATGTGTGTTTTCTGGTGGCTCAAGATTAGGATGTTAACTTAGAAACATTCAGATGTCAAACTGTCCAGTGTGTTTCACGCAAAACACATTTTTTTTTGTGTGTGTGACACAGAGTTGCTGCATACAGTATACAGAGCACATCAGACAACATAACAGACAACAGTTCACTGTTACCCCCTCCATCATGTCATAATCATAGATGGAGATACCACATTCATCAGCAATGAATGCCCTCAAATAAGAGAAAGAAAAAAGTGTCTCCCCAAATTAAAATACTCTAATAAAGTGTAGATAATGCATACATCCCTTAGAGCTGAACTGAATTACTGAATATAAGGTTGTTCTCATTTTGGCAGGAGAAACATATTTGGCTGAATGAAGAAAGGAAAAGGCAGGAGGGTTGATTTAGTCTGTCTGAGGAGATGTGGAGTGTATCTATTGATCTGCAGACTTATCGATACTCTTAACACGAGAGGGTCATTTGTTTCACCATCCCCCTACAAAGGGTGCAAACTGAATTTCCTCATTGTGCATGTGTGTGTATACTATTATTGAGTTTCTGCGTATATCTGATGATTGTTTTTATCAAATGAAATGCTTGTGAAGTGAACTCTCAAAGCCGCTCCAGAGATGAAGTTCATGCGGAGTGTCTTTGATGAAAACAGCACAAATGTGTAGTAGATGAAACAGAACATACATGTCTTTTCGCTGATTAATATTCACAGATATTAGTCCATATCGTGATTTAAGTGTACAACACTTATCACTTTAGGGATAAATTAAAGAAGAACAGTCCAAAAATCTAGGAACATTCAAAAATGCCCTGGAACCTACCACCACTTCTAGGAAATCTGTTTAGTAAACTAAACTATTGAGCTCTGTTTGTATTATTATCCTCATCACCTAGTATGAGTTGCAATTGCAATACAGTATATCACTTTCATTGACAGATATCGATTGGAAAAGAAACACACAATGTACTTGATGTACATTTACATTTACACAGGGGCGTAGATTACGCGGGGGACGCGGGGGATGTGTCCCCCCCACTTTTAATATCACGTAAATTCGTCCCCCGCACTTTTTCGGGCAAGTGTGTTCACATCGAGGTTTTCAAGAGCCGGTGTGAATAAATATAGATTTAAATTCAAACAGACAGGATAGTCTGTGCGTGATCTGATGTTTTATTCGGACCCAGAATAAGGCGAGGTGAACATTCACGGAGCGCTAAACACTCTGTGCAGTGTATGTTTCACACTTACAAATGAGGCTGCATTTATCCCATCCTAAGTGCACACACACAGCAGTGGGATGTGAAATACGGGGGTTTAATTAGAAATTAATTCTGGTCACCAACAGTGAAATATGGAATTAACTAGAAATACGGGGGTAGTCGTGGCCTAATGGTTAGAGAGTCGGACTCGTAACCCAAAGGTTGCGTTATATTAGAGTAAAAAGGTTTGGTAATGAATTTCAGAAACTTTAAATACTTTAAGCATTGAGCATTTTTGTTTAATAGCAATAAAATAAAATAAAATTATTTGAGATGGACTTGACAAATCAAATTGAGATGGACTGCATCAATATTGTCATGTGAGTGTGAACCTTTACGCAAGGTTTAATTTGGCTATTTTACTTATTTACAAAATATTTAATTTTATTAATTTAAAAAATGTTTAATTTAGCTTAATTTTATTTTATTTTATTGCTATTAAACAAAAATACAAAAACGCATATTCCATAAATAAATAAAAAAACAAACAACAACCTCCAAAAGCAGTTTTTATTAATTTTGGCATGAGGTGCACGTTGGCACTTACTTGTTTTGGTGCTTGGAGCCCTGCAGGTGTGCATGATACTGTGCCACTGAATTCAGTGTGACACTGCAGACATCACATGTGTAGCAGCGTTTTAGACCTACACAGAAAAGAAAGACACACATTTGTGTTTTTGGCAAGTGCAAAACAAAAATACAAATGCACATAATCTAACATGACAGTCATAGTAAGAAAATTCAGCCGTGAAATCTCTCACATGTCTTTGATTATCTTTTGTCCACGGCCTCTGCACCATGCTAAGCTGAAAGCAGAGTGGTCAATAAAGCCTCATCAAGTCATTCCCGTGAACAGAAGGACTAACTGGGGAATGAGATAACACTGGTCTCTATCTCTCTCAGTCAGCCGAGGCTCAGCACGGGTCACTGCTCGGCTGTGTTTCGTAGTTTTGCATGATCAACTCTCCTGATTACCGTACGCTGAGGGAATGTGTGTGTGGAGAGAATCAAATAAAGAGATATAAATATAGAAATTTCAAGCCTTTTTATTTATTTATTTGTGTTTTTAAGAACAACTATGAAATTACAATGGAAGTTCTCTCCATGAAATGCGATCCGTTTCTAGGGAGGGGGACCTTTTGAGGAGACAAGTTTCTCTGTTCTTGTGTGTGTGTGTGTGTGTGTGTGTGTGTGTGTCAAGTGACATTATAAATATTTAAGAAGGCCATGTGGCTTGTAATCCAGCTTGGGATACTGATGTTGTTGCACCCGTAAGGGCAAGAGAGGGGAAGCCACGAACTGTGACGCTCTTGTGCAGCCATGAAGAAATATAAGAAGAGTGAAATTTGGCCCAAACTAAATAACACTTCATATTATTATTCAGTGGGGAAGCCACTTTAAAACTTTAAAGCTACTCAGAATTTTAAGTAGTTTATAAACAGTCAGATGATACTTTTAACATTAAATTGAACTTATGCTTAAGTTAGATTCTAAACAACCAAGAAAGCTCATTTATATTACTTATTCAAAAAATACTACCTCAAAATCTAATTTATTTGTTGAATTGTTTATTTACATAAACAAGCGTATTTATTATTGTAGCGTCTGGACCAATCAGACACACCATTTTTCATTTGATTTAACAAATCAATTATTCATTAGATTAACAAACGTTCACAGACCCCTCACCCAATAAACATACTGGGTGCCAAGTTGTCTGTGAACAAGGCCCAGGACCCTGGTTACCATGGCAAGTAAATATCTACAGCGGATCTAAATATTTATAATTAATTATAACTAGCTCATTATATGAGCTGATTCGCTACATTATATATGACAAAAAAGACAGAGCATGTCTGATCACAGCCTCAGCTTGCTCTGCTATAAAATAAAATTAGACAAAAAATACAGTAAATATAACATTCTGTCACACTTCTACCCGTTGGAAAAAGTATTCACACTACTAAAATAATTTTTTTTTTTTTTGTTAAGTTAGTAGCATCACTACTTACAGTTAGTTACTTTCCTCTACCTACTGTATTTGTGTGTTGACTCTGGACAGCAAAAAGCTTGTTACTAACGTGACACAGCAGCACTTTGGCTCTCTATCAGTGCTGTTTGCCGCCTGCGCCCCCGTTATGGATTAAGCGTCCCGTGTAATTGCTGTCATGTTGCACTAATGATATTGCAGCTGAAAAATGGCCTTTGCAATCTCCTCTTCTCCAAATTGAGTTAAACCCATAAACAACATTTGCAGGAGAAGGGCATGGAGAAATTCATGTCGTACTGTTGATTCATCATCATGCTTAATTTGACTCATTCTCATTCATCTAGAGTTTTCTGCCTCTGTTGATATGCACTTGCTGTGTATTACAGCAGGTTGGCAAATAATAATAAAAAAAACCTGACACTGACAGACCAGGAACAGTCTTCCTTGTGTCTATCTGTGTTATACCCAAGAGTCTGATTATTTCTGCCACTGGGCAGCCAGCAGGAGTTTTTAAAACTTGAGAATCATATCAGCAACAGTGAAACTGAAAAGCACAGCAAAAAATGTCATTTCCCTCCACAACTTTTTAAAGCTCCTAGATACATGGTCATAAACAAAATATTTTTTGACTTCAGCAGTTTTAACATTTGTACAATGTGCCCATGGTTTGTCTCAGGCTGAAGGCCCAGAAGGAATTTGCATATTTTTTATTGTGTTTTCGGCACTGATTTGCATAATTCTACATAAAAAGTCTGCTGAGTTTTGTGGGTACCGATTCAGCTGACCATATCATCAACTGTTTAGTTTAGCTGGTATATTTTATGGTGGGATAGATACACCCACTTGCTTTATTCCTCCCACACACACACTCTTGGGTACTGACATTGAGAGGATGTGGCAGAGCCGTGTAGCTTGTGGTGACTCCCAGCTGGCCTTTTGACAGGCCGCCTCTCAAATGCTTTTTGAAAAGGTGAAATAATGGAGCACCGCCCAGGCATCCATCAATGTTAGCCATCCGTTCTGCTTGTCGCGCTGCCCATGGAACACATGAGCAATGAAGAGTCGACCAGTGCGCAGCTCCTATGAAGTCTCTCTCATCTGTGTCACCCTTGCTTCAGATTTATTACCTTTAGCACAGAATATCCTCCGAATGGAAATAGAGGAACCACAAGTGGAAAAAATGAGATTGAATGTTGCCTCTTTGCTATATATATATATATATATATATATATATGCTGTATATTATTTCTCACTCACTTAAATAGAAATGTAGAATTTTCAAGGAAATAATTTTTCTATACATTAGGAATTACATTTTGACCATTTGGCTGAGAGTGTTATTCAGAATAAAAATGTGAAGTAGATGGAATGGAACAAACAGCTTCCAGAATTCTTAGAGCACAATAAAGTTTAATGATGCCTTCAGGGATATTATCACCATAGGCTTCTGGTATCGTCAGGGATCATAACACCACTGATCTGGGACATGCCCTGGGACATACTCACTTACTGAGATTCCCATCTGTCGATCCTTCAGTTTATCCAACTTAAACTAGTTGGAATAATAGTTAGACTATTAGTCACTAATCATTACACTCTAAGAGTCAATTAATTTTGCCATCAATAATCACATAAGGTACCAGGACACACTCACCATAACTGGGATTTCAGCAGACACTAATGTGTAGTAACTAGGTGCTGTAGGACTCTGCTTCAAACAGGCTTTAGCTACATATTTACTTTAAGTTAAAAGTTAGGTGCTTGGCCATTTTTCATTTCCTTCTTTATATACAGTGAGGTTCAATGTTGGAGTCAGCTGTTTAGAAAATGTATTTTTCTTTATGTAAAAATGAATTACTATTCTATTTGAATATATTTTAAAATGTAATTTATTTCTGTGATGACAAAGCTGAAATTTCAGCAGCTATTACTCCCATTCTCTGTGTCACACAATCCTTCAGAAATCATGAAATCAGAAATGCAGCCTTTGTAAACAAACTACAAACTACTTTGACTCTCTCAGTGAGCCAGAAAAGCTAAGCATATGTTTATAGGGAGAAATTAGTATAATACCATTCTGTAAAGTATAAGGTGTTCCAACTACTACACCATTTACATGGGCAGTGATCATGAGGGCAGAGGTCAAATTCACAACATCCTGTCATATTCAGCACATTATCAGCCACTAACCTGTCCGACAGGCTTGAATCAGCATGTTTGCACTGTAAATAGTCAATGTTTCTGCCTCAATTTGTCATCAGCTCTGCTGTGTGAATTCAAACATGAGCAAAAATATGCTAAACAACAATGAATGAGAAAAATATGCCCATATTGGTACAGTGACACGCAGATGGCATCTAAATGGTGGGTAATTCAGCAAACACTGATCCACTTCTGCTCCAGAAGAAAATATATCAACCATATCAAATTGAAAAAGCCCACGGCTAGTGCCCGTATTTAGCAGTGCACATATAATACAACAAAATTCATTTAGCATCTTCTGATTACATTCACATACTAATAAATACAGTACCTCAATTATGTGATAAAAGGACCTTATACAGTTTACCCAAAATGAAAATCTGCCCACCATTTACATGTATGACTTTTTTTTCTGCAGAAAACAAACTGACCCCTAAATAGTAACTTATAAAGTGTACATATTTTGAAAGGATACCATCTTAGTGACAGCTGTTGTACCAGCTGTGTGTAAAGATACAGAGTGTAAAGACTGTTAAAACATTCCTCCGAATATTTTCTTTTGTATTTTACAGAAGAAAGTGCAACATAAGGATGAGTTAATGATGACAGAATTTTATTTTTGGGGTGAACTATCCTTTAAATAAATTTTGACAATTGCTGGTGCAAGATGTCTTAAATTAGATCTTTTTCCAGGACATAGAAGCTACAAAAATAAAGTAATGCTTTTTTTGGTCTTCCCAAAATCATTTTAGAAACAAGAGCTAATGTCTTACCAATACAATAAAATATAATTTCAACAAAGCCTAAGAGAATACAGATAACATGTCACCTTGGAATGAAATCGCAACAACCACCAACACTCCTTGATCGGTTTCAGGGTGGCACATAAAACTAATGGCTTGTACACTGAGGCACTAGGCAGGAAGAATGTAATTGCACAGTCCTTCGGAGTGAAGATGCTGATTACCAGACGAGCCAAATTATATCTCCAAACTTGTCTTTCCAATTAACCAGCAGGACTGTGTTTGGATAGATTGAATTTGTCACAGGCGTCGCCTGATTGGCTTGGTGATGACACTAAAAAAAAACTCAGAGAAAAGAGCGATAATCACTTCTGAAATCATATCAGCTTGAATTATATCAGTATTCTCTGTTAAAATGAGGACAGCTAAGCAGACCTGATTGATAAAGTGTTTGAAATTTAAGCTCTTTTCCTCAAAGGCAAACCAAAGCATTAACTAAAGTCCAGTTTTCAACATTCATTCTGGTCACTGCATTGCTAAATATATGCCAGTTATAAAAGAACTGTATGAGACCATGATTAAAAGCAAGTTATCATGCTGTTTTATTGAAAATATGATGCAAACCTCATTCTGATGTTATTCTTTGGAAGGTTTTGTATTAGTAAAAGAGTACATAAATTGAATTAAAACCATTTTTTGTAGTTTTGAAAACATGAAATGTTGTGATAGCTGATAGCTACATGATAGCTGTGTGAGACAGAATGTTAAAAAAGGCCACTATGTATAATTCCAACAGAACACATTGCAATGTCAGATCAAATCACAAGGGCTTCCTCCACTTCCTCCACGGAGTGCTGGGAAAGAGGAAAATAATCCCCATTTGCTGCTCTCCTTCAAAATGACTATGGATTGGCCTTCTAATGAGTTGAGTTTTTGTTCAGTGTGCAGTGTTAAGTGTTAAAAGGATGGGTTGGATGAATGTGAGGGTGAAAATAGCAACTACACACTCGTACATGAGGAAAACATTACATTTATTTAACATTACATTTATTTATATACATACAGTATATATAAATATACATGCACTGCGTTAGGTTAACCGAGACTTGTCATAGCCCTTGCATATTATTGCTCTTTTGTTGGTTTCGATTGCTTCTATTGTCCTCATTTGTAAGTCGCTTTGGATAAAAGCGTCTGCTAAATAACTTACATTTATTTATATACATACAGTATATATAAATATACATGCACTGCGTTAGGTTAACCGAGACTTGTCATAGCCCTTGCATATTATTGCTCTTTTGTTGGTTTCGATTGCTTCTATTGTCATCATTTGTAAGTCGCTTTGGATGGTCTGCTAAATGACTAAATGTAAATGTAAAACGAGTGCGAGTGAAGAGAAAAGAGACAAAAATGAGATAAAATTAGGTCTACTCTTCAGTTCACTGCTGAAAAACTAAAATTTGACAGGCTTTAGACACCTATTACTGCACAGAGTCCTAAAAAGATGAAATAAATATAAAGAGGAGATAAAAGGAGGGAAAACCCCTGTGCAATAGTAGTGCAATGGGTGTGTAAAAAATTGTAACGATCAACTGGTATCACCTGGATAGTGGCCCTTTTTCAACAATGTAGAAAAATGTAGGAGAACCCCATGATGTTTACTCTCCCAAAAAATCTACAGAACACAGAAGTAACAGTTAGCCCTCCCTTTGTGTAAATAAAAAGGTGCTGCAATTCAAAGCAGCAGGAGAAGAAAACGTGTCATGCACTCACAGATACACACACACACACACACACATTCATGAGAAAGCATGCAGACATAGTGCTCAACAGAAAAGCTATGAATATTTCATGATGTTGCAGTCTTCAAAGTGTGACTGCTGCCTCCCTCTCTGATGCTCTGAACATCAGACAACACTCAAAGGATGCCCGGGACAGATATATGCAAACAGAGAAATATGCAGAAAAATCTAAGCCGAGCAGACAGAAGGAGAAAAAACATGGGATGGATACTGAAAGAGAGACAGAGGCAAGTGTTGTAGGTGCTAACGCTTTGAGTGAAAGATGAGCCTGCCACCAACAGCTCCCAGCCCGATGAATTAGACAGCAAGTTCTCCTGCAACATTTCCCTCTCTGGCAAACTCTTTCTCTCTCTCTCTCTCTCTCTTGCTCTGGCCGTTAGGGTGATTTGCCACATCATTACTAATTGATAATCAGGTTGGAGAGAAGCCATGAGAGGCGTACTACAGAACGCTGTGGTGTCAGTGCTGACATTTCCTGGATGGAGTAATGACTAGGTGACATTAGTGAGAGGCCTTGCAGGGCAGACAGTGAGAACGGGCAGCCGAGGGGAAAATTGCAGAGATGGTTGGCCCATCCATTTTTCCCTCCTTAACCCAGTGAAGAGGAAATGTGTGTGAAAGCTCAGCTGTGGTGCAGTATACCGACTGGCTATTTCTACAGGTCCATTTTGGTCCAGGTCTTCCTGATGCTGAAATCACAGTGTGCGGTAGTGAATGCAAACTGAAAATGTATATATAGGGGAGGCCAGGGATAACTGTAACACCTTGCACCAATTTAAACTGAAAGAAGTTGTAAGTCACGGTGGACAATTAGGGCTGGACGAAAATATGGTAACGATAATTATCGCGAAATAATTTTCCTCAACAAAACGATAACAAGAGTTCGATAAATGTTCGATGTTTTTGCGCCAAAAGTGGAATGAAACAGAGCTACTCATTTGAGCTGCACAACCAGTGTTGCCAACTTCTTTCAATGGAAAGTAGCTAAAGCCAGCTTAAAAAAGTTGCTAAATGTCACTAGAATGACGTCATATGCTAATTAGCATATTCACTACATCATTACCTCGTATTGCCATTTACATTTTTTTGCCTCTATGTGCTCACATACTGTATTTTAATGCAGCCAAATTCTCAATAAAACAGTTTTCATTTATATGTTTTACCATTTCTGTTGTCAGGTAATGAGATGAATATGAAATAGTGACTGAAACGCGGCCCATTAAGAGACTACATAACCAGCCAGTGCTCCACACAGAGATCTGATCTTATCATCCAGTCTGTCTGGAATGACATGAAGAAACAGAACAAACCGAGACAGACTAAATCCAGAAGAACTGTGGCAACATCTCCAAGATGCTTCAAGAAACCTACCTGCAAAGCTACCTGAAAAACTATGCGCAAGTGCACCTAGAGCAAAAGCTGCTTTAAACGCAAAGGATGGTCACACCAAATGTTGATTTAATTTAGTTAATAGAAGTTAATTGATAAAGAAAATCTATTTATGACATTATTTTTGACAGCATCCTCATTTTACAGCCTTTTTACACAAGTGCCTAAAACTTTTAACAGTACTGTAGCTTTGCAGGTAGGTTTCTTGAAGCATCTTGGAGATGTTGCCACAGTTCTTCTGGATTTAGTCTGTCTCGGTTTGTTCTGTTTCTTCATGTCATTCCAGACAGACTGGATGATGATCAGATCAGATCTCTGTGTGGAGCACTAGCTGTTGTCAGACTCCTTGTACAAACAAAAATCTCACTGGATTATTACAATTAATGGCAAAATGAATGTTTGGAAATGTCAACTGATATTTCCTACTAACACACTACAGCAAAAGATAGAAATAACTGACCTAAAACCATTTTTAGCTGGTGACAATACTAGTGTTCTAATAATTTTGGCCGCCACTATATAATCAAGCTGTCGTCTGAAGAAATCAAATACACATAAGAAAAAGAGAATGCCTGTTCTGTGATTTCAGCTGTACTGCATTTCTGCACAAGCTTTTTTCTATTAAGATATTTATTATTTTGTTAAGGAAAATTGACTGGAAAAGTGTAAAGAATTCAAAAACGTTTAGTGTTTGTCATGTTCTGAACATAAAGAGTGGTTTATAACCACAATTGTTTTGTTTTACAATTAGAGGGGAAAAGTGTACCAAAACAGTGATCTCCCCTACTTTAAAGTGTTACCTAAAACTCTGAGCTTTAATGTGAAGCAGGATGTTTGAAAAAATCTTCAAATAATTCATAACTCTGTTGTGGGAAATGTAGATAACTTCTATCCTCGAGTGAAGTAAAAATCTCCAGTTTATTTTCTCATTCGGCACTCAACCTAATTGTTTTCCATTTTAATCTTGTGCTGACAGAGTAATAGCCACTATGAGCCTGGCCAAGTCTTCAGTGTGTCTTTCATTAACAAGGCTGCTCTGCATTCACCATCCATCACTCTAAGCTTGGGATAACCTTCAGTCCAAACAAACTAAACCCAACCTCAGCTCAGTGCTCATCTCAGTCTCACAGCACCGATCTCTCTAAAGCTTTGATTCGTACCGCACTGAGTCCCTTTAGCTCTAATGAGTTGAAACATCCCATGTTACTCAATAGTTCTGCTAGGAGGTGGAATCCCTCGCAGCAATGACTGCTGGCCTGGTCTCTTTCCCTCTCACCTGAGAGAAAATTTATTTGCAATTGTTATTGACATAATGGGAGAGCACACTCTTCATCCCTCAGAAATTAATAGCCTGTATCGAAGTCTCTGGACGCACAACCCTATTGCTTTTATTCTCTTGGAGCCCAGGCTGGAGAAGAGGCAAGGGAAGTAAAAGACACATTGAGAAGTTTTATTGTATTATGTGAGCACTTTCATGAATCTATCGAGGAAGTGAGCCCCATGGCACCAACTACCGCTCTGAGCTGGGAATAACTACCGCTCTGAGCTGGGAATAGCCTTCAATAAAAAAACACAGTGAAATATAACATGAGCAACATAGGTCAATCCTTCGAGCTCACAGGTGAGGTTTCTGAGGAGGGTGTTTTCACTGGACTAGGTGTCACCTCTGAAGAAACAAAGCAGAACAAGAATTAGAATGGAATAATGATTTAAAACATCATTTCTTTTATATTTTACATATTTAAAAGGGTCATGAACTGAGAAATCAAAATTTCCCTGATCTTTTGACATGAGGTCCTTGTACTATAAAAACATCCTGTAAGTTTCAGAACTCAAAACTTTCTTGCTAGTCTAAAAACAGCTTATATTGAAGCCAGTCTGCCAAAACAACAGCTTGTAGAATGTGCTGTTTATGATGTAATTGTGTGGCTAAATACTGCCTTTGCAGAAGAAGATCAACGCCTGCTTCTACATCGCTGCCTGTTTAGCCCCGCCCACCAATTCGCACATGTAGCGTAAATAACGAGAGAAGCAAACGCAGGTCTATGCAGAAAGCAAACGATAAAGATGGCTCCGAAGACAACAAGACTCTGTGCAGTGCCAAGTTGTGGAAAAACACAGTCTTTGCATCGCCTTCCTTCTGATCATAATGTTAGGAAAGAGTGGCTGTAGAACTTGGTCCTTTGTTCACTTCATTTTATCGCAGATTCCTTTACAAACAAGGCACAATTCGACACGGGATTTTCAAAAAGCTTGAAACTAAAATGCTGTGCTGACTATATTGGATCCGACAGGATTTAACAATCTTGACAACATTATAAAAGTGGACCTCAGAGAACAGTACAAAATAAAAAACAAATGCAGTTCATGACCCCTTTAAGACTTCAGATTCGAACGCAATAGCAAAATATGCTGGGGAGGTGTGTTTGGTAAGTCTGCAGAAGTTTGGCAACCAGGTACAAGATGGTAAATTCTGTAGATTGCTATATAAAACTTTAGGCAATGGCCAAGATTCGGTGCTCTCTGGGACATACCCCTAAATATTGGTGGAGAGATTCACTGCAAACTGCAGGAGACTTTTTTTCCTCCATATTTCCATTACACTCTCTGTACATGTTTGTTGGAATCGGGGTCCAAAGTTATTGCTAACAAATGCTGGAGAAATTGAGAAAATGTACAAGTCATAAATGTTTCTTACTGACCACTAAACTGTATTTTGTATTATTTTATTTTAAATATACATACACTACCATTCAAAAGTATGCATTAAATGAATCAAATGTGACATTAAACACTTGTACTCCATGACAAAAGATTTCACTTTACAAAAAATGCTGTTCTTTTGATATTCATCAGGAATCATGAGAAAAAAATATATAGTATAGATATGGTTATATTTTAATTATATTGTTATAAATTATTAATATTTTCCATTCAAATTTCATTCACTTGCAACACTGTTTCCATCTTTCAGTGACATGAAAATGCTACAAAAACACAGAATTGTTTCTTATTGCTGTTTTAGAAGCTTAACATGAAGAATATTCTATACATTTGTCACAACATGGTTTTCTGAAAAAAATGCCTTTGTTCTAAATGAACAAAAGTTGTTAGAAGAGGTGAGGGTCGGGGCTAAGGTTTTACAGTTTGTTTGTACTGCTTTGGTTCTTTTGGTCTGCTTACATCACAAGGGGCACACTATCTGTTTTAAACCAAGTAATGTTGCCATTTCTAATAAAATGATCTGCCAACTGGCAGTGAACTTTGTTTATTCACTTGCCAAAGCCAAGTTTTACTCTCATTTGGCGCTTTAAGTGTATGATTTTGGACCCTAGTTGCAATCCAGATAGCTTGAGGATTTTTGGATTTTCTGTAAGTACACGCTCAGAAAGCAAAAGAGAAACTCGCATAACAAATTATTCCCAGCTATGTGATGACATTTTACTGTTTGGATAACCCAATGAAACAAACAAAAGTATGTCTTATTCTTGCTTACTTCAGTGATTCTAGTCAGAAATTATTAACAGCCCAATTACTGAGATTTTATTCATCATTGTGTTTGGATGTGTTCTCTGCTACATAACTAACAAGCTGTTGCCAGTGACTTTATCAGGAAGATGATGCTCTGCATGGTTTCTGACAGTCCTGCGTTTGACCCACACACACACACAAAGCCAAGCTTCTTTACACATTTACTGTTTGGATGGCAGCATCACCACAGAGCAGACAGAATAAACACAAAACACCACAGAGAATCATAATGCCAGGCCAAACAATCAGTTTTAACACCTCAGTGGCTGTCCACTCTGCCATGGACAATGTTTACAAAAGCTCTGTTCAGCCTTGACATCACATCCAGTTTTTGGCAGAAGGGACAATTGGAAAGAATGAGCCACTTCCTGTATGAGTTTATTAGTGTTCATAGGTGTTATTGTGCGGTGAGAGTGAACTGACCCAATATCTTTGACAGAGTTTGTTTACATTTACACTGACTGCCTGTTCTTCAGCCCTATTTGCAACTTTATATATGATTTGATACATAAACTACATTAGTAGTGACTGCAAAAGCTATGACAGGGGCTAAAGAGACTCCACATAAGCTTCCTACAAAGCTTTGATTTATTAGCATATCTGTAAAAACCAGGACATCCACGAACAAAGAGACGCGTTGAAAAGTATTCTTGTTGTGCCAGGAAATTTATACCCTGCCAAAACACGTGCATTATTCCTTCAATCTGTTTTTCACTCTTCTTTTACATTCTTTCCAGCGGGGTTGATAAAAGTATAATGCATGCTTTGGATGGGGCACAATATTTAATTTAGGCAATTAACAACCACTGCTGCAAAAATTTAATTTGATACCGTAAATTAAAATGCTACATGAGATGAAAATTTAAGGAAGATAAATGAGCTGCCACAAGAGAGGGCGGCAGTACATGAGCAGGCAACTTCATTTTGAGAAAGCTTAATCTAGTTTATTTTTAACTGACGGTCATTCTCTGTGAAGAAATGTTGTTTATTGCAGGGCCTATGAGTTCTTGGCACAATGAAAGACAATACATTTGCATTAAAGCCATTAAATTAATTAATCCTGCCTGAAGTGTGGTCATACAGGAAATTTACATAGCATTTTATGTGTGGCAAGGCTTAGCTCTCTATGAAGAACTAACATTAAAAATGCAAAGCAAATACAAATTTAATAAAAGTGACAGTAAAGTATAGTACATAATGTGTAATTCATAAAACTCCCTTAAGCCCTGGCTGCCGTTATTGGAGTATCTGACAGACTCTTGCAGTATAACATTATGGATATTAGCAGAATCCGGCACTGAAACATTGGAGTATTGATTTACAAGCTCAGGGGTTTACGGAATGACATCCATCAAAATGAAAAACAGGAAGGTTTCTAGTTTCCTATAAACACAAGACCAAGACCATCCCTGTACAATATAAGATAACTGTGTTTTATTTTAATACAGACATTTTTGCACAACTTTAGTTTTTCATGCCATGTTTTATACAGGGTCACCAAGCTTTTTGACATTATTTACTAAATTATTTGCACTTGTTGTGTTCGTTGTTCCCTTTGAGTCATGTGTCACATGATGACAACTTACTAGCAGTTCCTTGCTTTAATAGTGAGTGCCACTGTGTTTTGTGTGTGGAATAGAATGAATGTCTTGATTTATTGTTATATTTGTGTACTAAAATTCCATACATTTTTATGCCTGTTTCACACCGCAAGCTTGAGCTTCACATTAGCTTCATGTCAGCGTAAATACATTGTCACTGCAGCTGCAGGCTCGCCAAAGTATTCACACTGGAAGCGTTTGTACAGCACCACAGCAGCGGCTCCAAACCTACATATTTCTTTACAAAGACAACTATAAATTTGATTTTAGAAGTTGGTCAAAAAGTTTTAAAGTCTTGAAAGTTTGTTAACATATCATGGTTGCAGTGTGAAACCGGCCTTATTCTGCACAGACCCTCATTATAAAACAATGCTCACATGACATCACATGACAGTTCACTTGCTAAGTGAAACATTCTAAATCTAAATTATTACAATTTAAAATAACTTTTCTTTTTCAGATATATTTTAAAATGTAATTTATTCCTGTGATGGCAAAACTGAATTTTCAGCAGCCTTTACTCTAGCCTTCAGTGTCACGTGATCCTTCAGAAATCATTCTAATATGCTCATCTGGTGCTCAAGAGACATTTCTTATTAATGCTAGCGATCTTCAAAACAGTTTAGCTGCTCAATTGTTTGTGTTATACATTTCCTCAAGACTATTTGAGGAATAGAAAGTCAAAAAGTAGCATGTACTTGTAATAGAAATCTTTTGTGACATTATAAATGTCGTTTCTGTTACTTTTGAATAAAAAAGACTTACTGACCCCAAACTTTTGAACATATACAGGTGCATCTCAATAAATTAGAATGTCGTGGAAAAGTTCATTTATTTCAGTAATTCAACTCAAATTGTGAAACTCGTGTATTAAATAAATTCAATGCACACAGACTGAAGTAGTTTAAGTCTTTGGTTCTTTTAATTGTGATGATTTTGGCTCACATTTAACAAAAACCCACCAACTCACTATCTCAACAAATTAGAATACTCCATAAGACCAATAAAAAAAAACATTTTTAATGAATTGTTGGCCTTCTGGAAAGTATGCTCATTTACTGTACATGTACTCAATAACTTGGTAGGGTCTCCTTCTGCTTTAATTACTGCCTCAATTCGGCGTAGCATGGAGGTGATCAGTTTGTGGCACTACTGAGGTGGTATGGAAGCCCAGGTTTCTTTGACAGTGGCCTTCAGCTCATCTGCATTTTTTGGTCTCTTGTTTCTCATTTTCCTCTTGACAATACCCCATAGATTCTCTATGGGGTTCAGGTCTGGTGAGTTTGCTGGCCAGTCAAGCACACCAACACCATGGTCATTTAACCAACTTTTGGTGCTTTTGGCAGTGTGAGCAGGTGCCAAATCCTGCTGGAAAATGAAATCAGCATCTTCAAAAAGCTGATCAGCAGAAGGAAGCATGAAGTGCTCCAAAATTTATTGGTAAACGGGTGCAGTGACGTTGGTTTTCAAAAAACACAATGGACCAACACCAGCAGATGACATTGCACCCCAAATCATCACAGACTGTGGAAAC